CTGTGTCCTTCTAATTTTGGAAGTTTCCTCTGCCATTTTTTCTCTAACTCTTTTCCTCTCCACTTTTTTTTTACTACCTTCTCCTGAACTAGATCAATAAGCTTTCTCCCTATTCCACCATCTTCTCTATGCTTCTTTATGGAAAACCCTTGTTTTAATCATTACAAAATGTCCATACTTGACCCTATGGCCTTACACTAAGAACTGAAAACATTAAGAAATGAGAGCTATGTCAACTCAGTCCTTGCTGAACTTCCCAGTTGAAATTGGTTCTAGATTTCTTCAGAAGGCATTTACAAGGAAACAATTCAAGGTCATTGTTTGAAGTCTATATAAATACCAATGCTGTGGTAAGGTTCAGAGAATAGGATGCAGGTCTCAACTTCTCTGCCGAAGGACAGTACATGCCTCAGCAGAAATCAATTTCAGGTATAGGCCAGATACAGAGATGATTCCAGGTTTGATCTTTTGGGGACTGCACAGGGAACAAGATTTTCTAAGTTGCCATACAATTATTGTCCACACAGAAAGAGGGAAACTAGAAGGGCCGTCACATCTCAGGGCCATCACTGGTAAAGCACACTGCAGTAATAGGAGAGGTGGGGAGGGGCATAGGCTCCAGCACAGTGCACGCTCAGCACAATGATAGTTTCCATGCACCCTTGCTGCTTCTTTATATGATCCAAAGACTTCTGTGGCTTAGCAGCACTGGAAAATTCTTAAGCGTTCCCAGGGCCAAAGTTCATCTGTGTTCTCCGACTCTGTGTACAGCAAGCCTAGCCTGGGCTGGTTGGTCATCTGCAGACATTGCCATCCCACAGCCTGGCTCTTTGCTGTCCTCCTAGGGTCTCATAGGCAAATGAGGAATATATCCCTGGTCTGGGATCTAGCATAGGGCTGGAAAGGCCTACTCCTCCCTGTGCACACCCTGTTGGATCACACCCCGGGCCTATTACCTGCTCAGGCTCTGAACCAAGTCAGGCACAATCAGCACGAGCTCCTGAAGAAAGTGCTCTTCCTGCACAATTAGTTCCAGCTGCTCACAGAATGCTCTCTCTCAGCCTAGGACAGGTCAATTCTCCAACTCATCCATCTAAGAGCATGCACATCACAGCTGGGATTTGGGGTTTTCAGATGCAGGCTAGAGGCATCATCATTCATTGTTTTAGGGAAAGTGAGATGTTGAGAGGTAGTGTTTTCAGCTCCTCTCCCTCACTGGAAGGCTTGAAGCTGTGGTCAATGTCTGCCTGAAGATCCACAGAGCCAAGGAAGGGTCTGAGAGCACAGAGGAGGGAGCAGGGTCATGTTGAGCAATCCAAGATGGGATCAGGCTGAGGGGAGGAATAGGCAAGACTCTCCAAGAACACATATTGTCTGTTTGTGTCTCTCAAGATTGGGTCTTGCAGAGCATTTCCAAGTCCAACAGTGAGGATGAAGCCTCTCAGGTAGGAGCAATACCCACAAATAATGGAGAATCAGATTAGAGGAAGGCTTGGATTATCTGCTGCTTTGGACTCTGGAGAGGACATTTTAACTCAGAAGGAAAAAATACATTGCATGCAGATGTCTGCATTGTTCTTTTTAAAATTAATTATAGAGTAGGAAGAGGTTATATGCCCATGGGATTGGAGCAAACTGAATTTTTACTGATGATTTCTTGCTTTAGTATTTAAAACAGTGGGACACCATCTCACACACACACTTGCTGAAACCCACACAGTCCTTGTAGCAAGTGCCAGGTGACAGTGAGTAGTGGACACTGCCCCTCTGCACAGCAAGTACATGTACCAATGCTTTTGTGCTCTATCTTTACTGTCTACTGCCAATCTTCACACCCCCAGGTTTGGCCCAGTTAAAGAATACTTCCTCTGTGCTGACAGGGGAGGCCCCAGCATCCTAGAATTGTGACAGCCAAGCATTACTTTGAGTTCCTCTTGGCATCCCCATCTCACCCAAGTCTGGAATAGGCTTTGTGACAGGCTGTTACCCGGTTGCTACTGGAGACACTGCATAGATGCACAGGCTTCCCAGAGGATCTGTGTTAGGGCATTCTGTGCTCGAAGCACACACTGGCCCTCACGGTCCTGCTGACCTCATCCCTTGGAATGTACTGGGCTCAGTGGAGTGCCTCTGGGCAGCAAGGCTGTGTGTTGCTTTTCCCTCAGATGTACTGCTCCAAACACACAGTACTGAAGTGTTCCCTCCTCTAGGCAGACCCAGCAGATTACCTGTCCTCAGGCCTGCAAAGTGTCCTTCCCAGTCTTTCCACTGCTCAGTGAAAACTCTAGCAAGTTCCATTTATTGATATGGCCAAAAATAAACCTGCTGTGGACTCCCTCCCAGAATTTGAACAAATTAAATTTCCTCTCCCTTTGGGACATCTTTTCAAATGGGTCAGGAAATCTGGGATTGCTATGATGATTAAATATTTCCAAACTCCACAAGGTTAACCCAGATATATGGACTTGGTCCTTGTTACCTTGTTACCTTCTCAGGCCCCAACAGGAGACCAGGACATTTACTCCCCACATTTAGAAGTGATCTCCAGATATATTGCTGTGCATGAAAATATATTTTTAAAAGATTTATATACTTATTTGAAAGGCAGAGTTATGACTTGGAGATCTTCCTTCCAATGTTTCATTCCCTACATAACCTCAATGAAAAGGTTGGGCCAGGCCAAACCAGGATCCTGAAACTCCATCTGTCTCCCAAATGTGTGGCAGGGACCCAAGCATGAGCCATGTTACACTGCTTTCCGAGGCACATTAACAGGGAACTGGATCAGAAGTGGTGAACCAGGGACACCAATAAGTGATCCTATGCGGTGGTCACCACATGTGGTGCTTTCACCTGCTGCACCACAATGCCAGCCGCAAGTGGCAGTATAGCATTATCTTGGGCTCCAAAGCTCCCATAGCAGACAATAATATGGTTGGTGGAGGTTGACAAGGACAAAGGAAATGGACAATATCTATGAGTCAAAATAGAGGAAGGGACACATGAAAATCAATGTGTTGCACACATCGACAAATGGACAACGGCTACACAAGGAGGAACAAGGTGACACTGACTAGCAAGTATTATGGGATACTGAAGGCTCAAAGAAGAGATCAAAGTTCAGACATCCTCTAACTCATTACAAAGGTGAAGCCATCCAATCCCAGGAACAGGGGTATAGAGATGGAACCCCAAGAGGGTACCAAGGTTGGCCTACATCATCGAACCAGCAGCAGGGGTCCAAGTCCTCACCTCAAGTCTAACTCTTCCCATTCCTTTTCTCTGGCAACCTCATCACTCCCTACTCCTGTGCACCTGGAAGGCTACATGGTAATCTCTGAACTTTCCATTGGAAGTGGCGATCTGGGGGTAAGTGTTTTCCTTTTTCATATCTTTCTGATTCTGTAGCTTTTTGCTCAGAAGCTCCTATTCCTTTGTCCCCCTCATTCCCTCCTCACCAGAGTTGATCCTCATTGTGAAGAACCTGGTATGATCTAGGCATTTAATGTACTTGCACTATGGATGCAGGACATCCTGCCAAGAAGAACAGGAAATGTGAGCTTGCAGCAGGTAGATGGGGGTGAGGGAAATAAGGTCACATGGACTCCATTGCTCCACATTCTTGTGACACCTCAGGGATGCCAACTAAATGTAGACCAGAAGTGGAGAGGCTGCCAATGAGCCTGACCTTGAGAGTGGAGATGAATGGATGTTCAGGATCCACAGAGTGGAAGGATATGCCCTGAGGTGGTCCCAGAGAGCACATCCCCATTCCATGGAAGCTCCTAGAGCAGCTAGGAGGAGTTTTGCTTTCATCTGAAGGGAAGGCTGTAGATGCTAGCAGCATTGCCATGCAAATGACTTTGGAGGGGGCTGTTAATTGTGTTGTGTCTGGGGAGAGACATCATAGCTGTTGAACATTTCCCTCTACAAGGTGAGTCCCTGCCAACCCAACCTGAAGTCAACAGGGAGCCTCACAGGTATGGGGAGATCCTGGGGGGTGTCCCTGTCCACCTCCAATTCAGGAAGATTAGAAGAGGGTGAGACAGAGAGAGGCACCTTTGGGTGCCTTTTCACACCAGGAAGAGAGCCCACTGTACTCATCTTTGAATCCTTGTAGCTACCCATCCCAACCTGACATCACATAAGAGCCAGCACAGAACACAAGAGCTGAGGGGATTTACCCAGGCCTTTTGGGGCCCTCAGCCTCCATTCTCAGAGACTGATAGATGCTTTTTTACATGTTGATCACTTATTTTTGTGCATATAAAATTTTGTATGTGCCTGTTAAACTTAATTGTCAGCAATTAAGGCAAAACTCACTTTGAAGAGTGACAGGAGCAGGGTGTCAAGAACCTAGTGTTCTTCTCATTTGTGCACTAATTTTATACTTCAATTACAAATACACACTGGCTGCATGGCCCTACAAAAGAAATGTCTTCCATCACATTTTCCATGCTCAAATATAGTAAAGCAATAATGGTTGGGTAAATATCACAGAATAATTCTTGCCAATAAAATCTCTGAAATGACTTCTATGTGGAGGATAGAAAGAACTTCTACACGATTAGGGAAGGAAACCAAAAAGCTCTGTGCAGTTGACCATAATTAACATGCCCCAGACTGGTGGAGAAAGGACTGAGTAGGAAGTGTCAGGACTCCCCATTATGTGTCATCAAACCTCCTGCTCATAAGTCCCAGGGGAGTGGGCCTTGGATTTTTAATCACAGGGGCCAAGAGATCTCCCCTTTCCTGTACATCAGGTTCAATGCCATGTGAAATGTCCTCTGAAGGCTGCCCAAGCGAATGCCTAATGGAATTCACAATTGTAGGACACCCATGCCCACACAAATGGGCCTCAGTGACCCATGACCCTGATTTCTGTGGAGGTCAGGAACTAGAGTTGCCCTCCAGGGCACAGGAGCCTTCGGAGTGCTGCACACCCATCCCATTGTTCCTACCCCTACAACAACCTTGTCTTCCCCCACTGATCCCTGTACCTGTTTCATCTTTGCAGAAATTTTTAGCAACTTAGGAGACTGCAGTGTGGAGTCATGGGACAAAGAGGAGCTGGAGTTTCCCAAGCCATCAGAAACTTGAGCCATACAGGAGGAGAAACTTCAGCCACATGCACCTCATCAGTATTCTGATAGCTTTGACAATAAATTCTTGTCACCCAGTGCTAGTTGATCTGCACATGCTTTTCTGTCAAAGAAAATAAATCGAAAGAAAACACCTTTAGCAAATGTAGAACTTAAAATGATCAGAGAGTAAGTAGTCACCCTAGTGAGTACCACCATCATCTCCCTCAAAAGGAATCTCGTTTGTCTTCACTGAAGAAAAGTCACTGCCAGGTTGGCTGCTTCAATCTGTTCCTTCCTCTCGAAGGGATCTTGGGGTCCATCTCACCCAAGATCTCTCTCAAAGACTTGGATGACATTGCATTTTTTACCTAATGTCAGCTTGCACAGCATGCAGTTTCTGGCTTAACCTTTTCTTCTTGAGCATCTTAAATATATTCTTTTCCCTCCTAACCCAGATAAGCTGGATCCTTTTCATTCCCTTCTATGTTACTCATCCGTGTATTCTAGATGCCTGAGTACTTTTTAATTCTCAGATTTTACTAGAAATGACTTCAGTCACTCTAAGAACAACCCAGTTTTCTGTGAAGATGTACTTTGACAGCATATCATCATTTTCTGAAATAGTTTGAATTAAAATTATTACCTTTAGATCATTGCATTGGTATTCCTCTTCCAGGAATCTCATTCATACATATGCTTGTATTCAACTTCTAGTATTTCTCTCAGCTTCTGAAATCTTTGGTCAAGCACCTATTCTTTATATTTCCCCTTTTACCTTCTGTTTCTTGAAAGGCACCATCTGTCTCTGTGCTTCCTCTGGTTTGCATTTCACAAGTGATGTTATTTTTTTCCTGTTTTCCTTCTTTCCTGAGTTCTGTACATTCATTTCTGAGTTTCCCTGATTCTTAGTATTGATGTCCTTGGTATCATTGTCTGCACTATTTTCCCTCATCCTGTAAACTACCTTGCTCAGAACACAAATTACATGTATCAGAGTCTTTTATCTCTTTTTATTACTGATTTCTCCCTTTAGAGCATATTGTCACCAAAATTTTATTTTTGTTCTTTTTAATAGAAAATTTGGCTTTGGGAATTGTGAATGGATATAGGATACAGAAATATTTGTTTCAATTGTATTTGGAATGCTGAAAAAAAAGACACCTAATTTCTTGGCTCTGTATTTTATATTTATTTCATGTGAAAGCCTCTCTCTCTTTCAACTTAACCTTATTATCAATACTATTTAGGAAGGCATCTTTTATAAGAGAACAATAGTCCCCAATTTTGCAAATCTATTTTTATTTTCCTTTATATTGGGGGTATCAGAATCTCTGAGATTATGGAGTTAATTTCTATTATGTCTACAGAATTTTTTTCTCTGATTAGCCTGTTTTTATTGGTCACCATTTTATTCATAGGATTATTAAGTTTTCAAATATTTTGGTTTCTTTGAGTCACAAAATCTGGAGTTTCTTATTTACATATGTGTCATTTAAGCTTAGAACAAAAAATTTTCATTTTACTTTTTTTTTTTTTGATAGGCAGAGTGGACAGTGAGAGAGAGAGACAGGTCTTCCCTTGCCGTTGGTTCACCCTCCAATGGCCGCCGCTGCAGCCGGCGCAGCGCGCTGATCCGATGGCAGGAGCCAGGATCCACGTGCTTTTTCCTGGTCTCCCATGGGGTGCAGGGCCCAAGCACCTGGGCCATCCTCCACTGCACTCCCTGGCCATAGCAGAGAGCTGGCCTGGAAGAGGGGCAACCGGGACAGAATCCGGCGCCCTGACCGGGACTAGAACCCGGTGTGCCGGCGCCGCAAGGTGGAGGATTAGCCTAGTGAGCCACGGCGCCGGCTCTTCATTTTACTTTAACATCAATCTTATTTCAGAAAAATTTGGTTTTAGATACCAAAATGTTTTTTAGTTAATTAGTGATTGCTAGGTATTTTTAATCCCTTAGATTATCAAAGAGGTACAAAAAAGGTCAGGTCCACCTAGGCCCATGACTCCAGAGGAAATGAGTTTTGCCAAGTTCAAGCATGTATATCAGGCTTACCATGGTCTCTTGTGTTTGACACAGAGTGGCCAAGGATCATACTTACTGATTCACCCTTGTTGTCCTTACATACACTATCTTGGAAATATATGGTTAAAGCAAAAGTATTCTTTGAAATTTCTTTGCTGACGTAAAAAACTTAATGTGAAAATATAAAAACTCTCATCCATAAAATGTCATTAATCCCATTCCTGAGCAATTAAAGAATTACACACACATACACACTACAGGCTGGTTGGCTTGAGAAATAAAATTATGATCTTATACTCACATACCAGGAGTTCATGAATGAAATTCTTTCTGGCTTCTGGTATCCTGGGATGTTCTACTACTCACTATCCATGGATTCCCATTGGTGGAATGGCTGAACCCCCCCCCCCAAGCTGCATCTATCTTTTTCAAGATTTAGTTATTTGAAAGGCAGAGTTAGAGAGAGGGGGAAGGAGACATACATGCATACACACATACACACACAGAAAGAGAGAGAGAGAGAGATTTCCCATCCACTGGTGGTTACTCTCCAAATGTCACAACATCTACGGCTGAGCCAGGCCAAAGGCTGAAGCCAGTAGCTTCATCCAGATCTCTGAAATGGGTGCAGGGGCCCAGGCATTTGTGCCATCTCCCACTGCTTTCCCACGTGCATTGGCAAGGTACTGGATCAGAGGTGGAGCAGCCTGGTCATAAACTGGGGCCACCAGCTGGCCTCCAGAGCTGCATCATAACTCCACCCCCACAGACATACACACTCATGCCATCAATTGTGAGCAAAAGGCAAGATTAATATCATACAAGCTCTTCAAGCCTCTGATACCCTGCAAGCATATATAGGTCATCTGTCTCCAAACAGTCCAGGCACCTGTTGGCAGAATTCATGGATAATGTGGTATGTACCTGTGACTTCAGAAACACATTCATGGCATGCAATGGAGCACTGGTCTGGCCTCCTGATACAGTTGTGTACGGTGTGGATAATTCAGAGGCAACAAGTCCAGAAGTGATGATATCAATGGGTGGAGGGGCCAGTGCTGTGGTGCAGTGGGTTAAAGCCCAGGCATGAAACCCCAGCATCCCATATGGGTGCCGGGTCTAGTCTCAGCTGCTCCTCTTCTGATCCAGCTCTCTGCTATTGCCTGGGAGAGCTGTAGAATATGGCCCAAGTCCTTGTGGCCTTTCACCCATGTGGGAGGCCCAGAAGAAGCTCTTGGCTCCTGGCTTTGGATCAGGGCAGCTTCTGCTATTGCAGCCATTTGGAGAGTGAACCAGCAGATGGAAGACCTCTTTCTATGCCCCTCCTTCTCTATCTCTGTAACTCTGAGTGGATGGAACAGGAGCTACATCCTTAGACACATTTCCTGGTTAATGTGCTTGGGAAAGCAGCAGAAGATGGCCCAAGTGCTTGGGCTCCTGCACCCTCATGGGAGACCTGGAAGAGACTCCTTGCTCCTGGCTTCTACGTGGCCCTGGCTGTTGTGGTCACCTGGGGATTGAAACAGTGGATGAAGGTCTCTTTCTCTCTCTCCCCCTCCCTCCCCCCTCTACCTCTCTCTCTCCCTCTCCCCCTCTCTCCTCTCTTTCTGCCTCTCCCACTCTGTAGCACTGCCTTTCAAAATTATTGAAATCTTTTGTAAAAAATAAAAAAAAAGAAAATGTCATTTCTTACTTGTGAAGCTGTATCATTCCTTCCAAGATGTTTCCCTCCCAAAGGAAGGAGGAATTCAGGACCACCTTTAATCTACAAATTTGCATACCACAAATACATGAAAACATGTATCCTAGAAATAAATACAGATAGAAACCAATCCATAACACCCATGGACATGATGTTCACAACACATTGGGCTTATAAAAGTAATATACACACCCCCAAAGAGCTCACACAAAATCGGACACACACACTCAAGCTCTTCACATAGGGGTGAATGAGTCCTCCTCTTCTGTGCTGGAAAGCTTGGGGGTCAAGAACATATAGAGAGAACTTTTGCTGATATTTCCATTTACCATGGGATGACACCGATCACCATGGGCATGTAAGTGCATCAACATTGACACCAGGGACCTTAACATCAGTGGATTGTTAGCCATTCTTTCCGAAGAAAGAAAACCATGGTCACTCTTTTCCAGAAAGAAAACCCACATTTTGAAATACTCATGGTACTCAAAGACTTAGGGGTTGACAAGGGTAGGTGAAGCCTTGCCTCTCCCCCCAGTCTGTCCACAAACTCAGTGTTTTGGGGGGGGTTATCTTGTAGGTATTAAACCTAGGCACTAGGTCATATAGCATGAGGCTGGAGGGGTGGTCCTGCCACAACTAAAATTGGGATGTGTGTAGACTCCTCAGGCCCAGGAATTGGCACAGGCCTGAAGGATACACACTCTAGGATAGCCAGCTTTGGCCAATGCAGCATGTCCTAGAAAGACTGCCCAGGGGAACTGCAGGGAAAGCTCACTGACTCTCTTGGAAACAACTGGGGTCCACATGCTGTACACCCTCCCTCCACTTTGGAGAGACAGACAGGACCCATGGCTGTTTACCACCCATTTCTGACAACATCCCATGTGAAAGATATTCTTCACCAGGTAGAGGCTGGATGTCTGGCCTGAAAGCCCAGGAGGATGCATAAGGAGAGTGTCTAACTTAGGGACCATCAGTACTAGGCCAAGACACTTGGCAAAACTGTTGGAGGTGTGTGCATGTGTAAATGGCCCATGCACAGAGCCAGCAGTCAGGACCAAGGCCATGGGTCAGCCCCAGACCCCTGTCCATTAGTCTTTCCAGGAGTCCCTTCCTTCAGAATTGACAGGTGGAGACTCATATCATGGTCACAACAAAAGTTCAAACTCTTAGACAAATTAACATCTGTAAATGTGTATATGTATTAAACAAACCTCTGAGGAAGTACATATATATATTGTATATATACTCGTGTTGGTCTATAAACTGTGGAGCTGTATGCGATAATCTGACATTGCAGAAGGGAGGAATTTACTTCTGCCATTTTTTCTAGAGCTTACACACTAAAAATACATGCAAACATATATCTCCTCAAAATGAGTAGCAGAGAAAT